TGGTCTATGGCAACGATCGGCAACTACTAACTGGATCGCGGTCCGAATTCGGATTCCGTCAATATTCGAGTATCTTGCAATTGTTTTGTCTTTATATCATACTATTATAACAATGCAAGGACACAGTCACAGTGGTAAGGATTTGACAAACATTTTCTTCTCTGGGCCTCAATTATTTATTAATCTAGTCTTCTGGACTCCAACTCCAATAGAAATTACTTACCAACATACCAACCCCTGCCGTCCCTTATGGCTTATAGTCTATGGGTCGCTTAATTCTGTGATAAAATTATAGCGCACTTAATTTGGATACACTTTCGTGGTGGGGTGGTCACACTGATAAGCCAGTAAATGGTAAATACTATTTATTAAACAGTAAATATTAATTATTAATAATAATTAATAATAATTATCTTACAGTAGATTAAACTATTTAAATTTARACCAGGTACTGTTTAGTACTTAGTAAGAGTAACCTTAATTTAGTAATTTAGTATTTCAAGTCAATTGACAAATGCTATAGATTTATTATAGAAACTACGAATCCATAGTACCACATAACATCAGTACATATTACCATATTACTGAATATAATAGTTTTTAATTATTTTCTATTGATAAAAAATAATAATGATAGCATAGGATCAAGAATTAAGATAATATTATACGTCTTAGAAAATCTTTAAATCATATTATTATATAATATCTTGATTCGTGTATATGTCATATGACTCAAATGAGTCAAATTTTCAAAATTATTGTTATCAAGTTCCGCTTGAGCTTTGAGTCATAATTTGATCTTCATTTTCTTGTTAAACTTGTCATATTAATTATTTTTATTTGACAAAACATTAGATTACACCATGTCTCTATTTAGGTAAGTTAAACTCAAGCTTATTGTTCAATAACCTGTTGTAGATGTTTTAATATAATAATTTATGATTTCTCAGTGTATTACCAGCCCCTACACAATTTCTTCAGGATTTGGAAGAAGATGACGAATCAAATGAAACGCTTGCTGAGAAAACCAATACATATGAAGTGTATGCTGTTAAAATCCCACCGTATGGGAATAGAAATGGATGGGTACCAAGGACTGTTGAAGTAAATCTAGATATTGTTATTTGATATTATATTATTGTCTAATTTAATTGATTATAAATGAGAGTAATGTTTTGCTCAAGTAACTAGGTAATCAGATAAACCTTGTTTCTACAACACATTCATTTTTAACATAGCGCAACATGGTCTTTTAATTAATCTTTATCTAATCTTATGTCTTAAACGAGACTAACATTAGGTGATAACCACTTTTCTTCCAGTTCTGTCAAACCACGGACTAATAAGTTTCGTCAATTCATTTTCATTTCTGACAATTTTTCTGGTAGTCGCATTGCAGTCGACACGTTTATACTATATTATAGTTTATTGTCCAATAAACAATAAAATCAACACAAGTTTTGGATTAAACATTTTCTATTGAATAGTACCTACTTTAAATAGTATGGATTGTTTAAAATATATTTAAATGATTATATGTGGACAACATTTTTTACCAAATAACACTCACGAGTTACTTGGAACTTGGTGGTCAATGTTTGTATTTTAAAAATGATTTTTATACATCCAACTATTGCGAACTGCTTTTGTTTTAATTTTGGTAGTAATTAGTAAAGTAGTAGTAAAATATTCAATTTTTTTTAAAAATTTTGAAATATAATTCAGAAATGTATTTTTTAATTTATTAGATTTTGTTGTAAAAAGTGTTTTTTATTGTTTTTCCAGTTCATGAACCCAGAACCACTGACAGTTGGGCTATTTTTTTTCTAATTGAGATCATTTTTAAAATTTTATAATTAATATTCTTTTGTTAAAATTAAGCTACTTTTTTTTACAGGATTTTGGGGATGGTGGCGCTTTTCCGGAAATCCAAGTTGCACAGTATCCATTGAATATGGGAAAAGAAAATAAAGAATCTGTTTCAAATGCTCTTGCATTGCAGTTAACTTCTGATGGTAAAGTTAAATATGATGTGATTGCTCGCCAAGGTCAAAGAAAAGATAAAGTGATTTATTCAAAATTATCTGACATGCTTCCATCTGAGGTGATCAATGAAGATGATCCTTCTTTGCAAAAGCCTGATTTAGAAGAAGTTGCAGATCTCACTGAAAAAACAAGAGCAGCACTCGAAAAATTGACTAATTCTAAAGTTTCGGCTGCATTACCAGTACGAGCAGCAGATAAACCTGTAAGTTACAATGTTCTTAATTTTWATCAATAAATTTATTTTTATATGTACTTTTAAATTGAAAATGTTTATTAGGCTCCTGTTCAATGGTTCCGCTATACCCCTACTGAACAAGGAAAAGAATATAATTCTGGATCAAAACAGCGTGTAGTAAGATTAGTGGAGGCTCAGAAAGATCCCATGGAACCTCCAAAATTTAAAATCAATAAAAAAATTCCTCGGGGTCCTCCATCACCTCCTGCACCTTTAATGCATTCTCCTACCAGAAAGACATCTGTTAAAGAACAAAAAGAATGGAAAATTCCTCCATGTATATCCAATTGGAAAAATGCTAAAGGTTATACAATTCCATTAGATAAGAGATTAGCTGCTGATGGTCGAGGTTTACAACAAAATCATATAAATGAAAAATTCGCTAAACTGGCCGAATCCTTATACATAGCAGATCGAAAAGCTAGAGAAGCTGTTGAAATGAGGGCTCAGCTGGAAAAGAAAATGGCACAAAAAGAAAAGGAAAAGAAAGAGGAACATCTTAGAGCCATGGCTCAAAAAGCCAGGGAAGAAAGAGCAGGTATTCGGCTTCCTGGATCCGCTAAAAATGATGAATCTCGTGAACGTGATCAATTGCGTTTGGAACGACAAAAAGATAGAGCTCGTGATCGTAATCTTGCTAGAAATGCTGACAGTCGTAAAAACAAAGTATTGCGAGATCGAGATATTAGTGAACAAATTGCTCTTGGACTCCCAGCAATCACTAGAAAAACTGGTGATACTCAGTACGATCAACGTTTGCTTAATACAACAGCAGGTATGGATACCGGATTTGGAGATGATGAAGAATATAATGTGTATGATAAACCTTGGCGTGGAAATAGCTCTTTGGCTCAACATATTTACCGTCCATCTGCTAATATTGATAAAGAAGTGTATGGTGATGATTTAGACAAAATTGCTAAGACAAATAGGTAAGTTTGATATTATAAAGTTGGAATAATTAATTTGTATTATTATTATTATTATTATTGGATAAATTGAATAAAGCTCTAATTTAAGAAATAGAAAAATAGAATAATTCAAAGCTGTTAGATAGTTTAGTTTATTTTATGGGTTGTGTATTTCCACAGAAAAATAATTTTGATTGTTGGAAAAACAATACAACTTGTAATATCTATCTTTTATAAAAAAAAATGTTTAAGTAATTATTATTTTTGTTTTTATTTAGGTTTGTGCCAAACAAAGAATTTAGTGGAACAGATCGTGATCCTAAAGCCAGTGGTCGATCTGGACCTGTTCAATTTGAAAAACATCAGCAAGAAGAAGATCCATTTGGTTTGGATCAGTTCTTAACTCAAGCCAAGCATGCATCTAAAAGATCTCAGCCACAACAACAAGACCGTGACAAACGTCGTAGAAAAGATTAATTTCTTTATTTCTTATTTAGTGTTAAAATGTTTTTTGTCCATTATTATAGAAGTTAAAATTTTCATTTAAATCTTTTACTTCTCCAGACTTACTATTACATTTATGTGTTTCATAATATTATCATTTTCCRGTAACCATACAATTTTAGGATATTTATTTAAACTTAAATAAAATAATCTCAAAATTTAAAATTTTTGTTGAAACTTTATTCTTTCACTTTTACACCTTGATGAAACTAACAGTTTACACTACAAATTTGCACAAAAAACTAACCCGCCAGAACTTAAAATTTGTCAAATGCGAATTATAAATACCTTCAAATAGTGAAAAAATAACTTTAATATTAAGAATGCAACATTCAATATAATTTTTCATATAGCCACTAGAAATATGTGTTAGTGCTGAATTATTTAATTTTCAAAGCAAGATAGCCATATTTACTTTATGGCAGTAAACTTTAATACATCATTTCTCAACCTTTTTAGTGTCTTGACCCCCAAAATAGGTATAGAATATGGT